TTGTTTCTGCTGTATCCCCAGTGCTTAGAAAAGTGCCTGGCTCCTGTCGGCACCCAGTAAATGTTTGTTAAGGGAATGGATCCGTTCTTGGGCATCCTGGTAGAAGGTAAACACAGAGGAGCCCCCAAACCAGTCTCTGCTTCCTAGAGCCCTGGTCAAAGCAGCCATGCTACAGAGGAGTCATTTCACGTCCTCTGATGCTGCCAGGAACTGATCGTATCTGCCCTGGGACGCCTCAAATGCCAGACGGGAGGCAGGACAGCCGTTGTGGGCTGTGCAGAGGAGGAGGAGTTTCCTATGAGTTGGAGTTATCAGGGAAGTTTCGTTGAAGGAGATAGATGTTGAGCCAGGACTTGACAACAGAGTAAGATGTGATTGGGCAACAAAAAGATGTAAGGTCTTTATGTCAGGTATGCAGAGTGGATGAGGGAAGATGTGGGGGAGTTGGAAGTGTACCGTGAGTGGCCTTGAAGGTCAGCTCTAGGAAGTTGTCCACCTAGACGTTACAGCTCTTATTTCCCCCTGCGTGGTCTCAGACCCTTGGAGGCCTGCGTGTGTGATGCAGCAGGTTTTTAGGAATAGCATTGTTGCTCTTCAGTGTTCTGAACTTGCATGCAGAACAAGAGCCTCGTTCTGCCTCAGCTCAGGCGACTATTGGGTATTTTCCCTTTTATTTAAGTACTGCCTTTCTCAAAACACGTGACTTGTATTTCTTGTAACTAATGGTTATTGTTTTAAAAAAGAAAAGAAAGAAAGAAAAGAAAACTCTGTTGTAATTTCTTCACCTTAGACATTCCTCAGAGCAGTTTTAGCTTTTTACCATTCTAGATTTATTCTAGATTACAGTATTTGCACTTGCATCTGGCTGTGTGTTTAGAGATAGGGGAGATTATAGATGATTTCTGCAGCTTTCAGACTTAGAAGCAGGTGATGGTTAAGTGGGACCCACCTCGTCACCTTGCATTTGTATTTGATTGCTGTATGGGAGGTTCGAGTTTTGAGATATAAACTGATAATGTTCTAAAGTGTGGGCTTAAACATAAGAATTTAGAGCGGTGATTGTCAACCCTAGCTACACGTTAGAACCACCTGTGGGGAACTTTAAAAAAATCCCCCAGAGATTCCTATGTAATTGTTCTGGAGTGCTGCCTGGGTAATGGTTTTGTTGATGTTTGGTTTTTGGATTTTGTTTTGTTTTGTTTTTGGAAACAATCTCAAACTTAGAGAAAAGTTGCAAGTATGATGGAAAAAACAACACGTTTTTTCTGAATCATTTAAGAATAAATTGCTGGTCCTGTGTCCCATCACCTGCCTTCCTTCCTCAATACTTTAGTGTATTTCTAAAAAACAAGAGCATTCTCCTATGTAGCTACAACCATCAAAATTTGAAAAATGAACACTGGTAGATTGCTTAATGTTCAGCCCCTACTCAGAGTGTGATACTTGCCCCTGTAATGGCCTGTAGAGCAAAAGGCTCAATCACACTTTGCATTTGGTTATTGTATCTCTTTAGTCTCCTTCCACTCAGAATAGTTTCTCAGTCTTTCCTTGATGTTCATGACCTTGAAACTTTTGAAGATTGCAAACCAATTATTTTCTGAAATGCGTTTAAATTTGGCATTGTCTGATGTTTCCTCATGATGATATTCAGGTTACACATATTCGAAAGGACTATTGTGGAAGTGATGCTGTGTCCCTCACAGCACCCTATCAGGTAACTCACAATTGCAGTTTGTCCCATTACTGATGCTGTTCACATGGATTACCTGATTAAGGTGGTATCTGCCAGGCTTCTCTGTGTAGTTATTATTTTCTCCTTTATAATTAATAAATATTTTTGTGGGGTGGTGCTTTATAACTATGACTATCCCATTCCTTGTCATTTTCAGTTTTTTCATTTCCTTATTTCTACAATATGGGACTTATGTTTTCCTATTTTATGCAATGGCTTATAATCTCTGTTTATTTTTATGCTTATGTTGTCCCAGGTTTAGTTTGTATGAGCCCCTTCAAACTGGCCTCTGACCATTTGACATGTCCCATCATTTGTTAAGGATTTCCTTGCTTCTTGGCAAACAAATATTCCAGGTTCTTTTTGTACTTCCCGTGTTCTAGCTGCAAAATTAGCTCTTTTTCCCAAGAGTTGTAGTTCTTTTAGTGAAGGATGGTATTTAGAAGTGGCAGTCTGGGTTCAAGGTGTGTGCATAGCTACTTGGATATTGTTTGTTCTAAGCCCGCTCAGTGATAGAGCTAGTGTGTGTGTGTGTGTGTTTGCATATATAGGGAAACATACACACACATACATACAAAGTTACATCTATGTTTATTGTTATGTCTCTATATATTAAAAACCATGAGTCCATGCCAATAACTAATTCTGATCCAACTCCACTGCATTCATTTGTTGTCATCCTTAATATATTTATTTATTGATCAATCCCCCTGTGTGTAACTGACCTCCCACCATCACTACCACCGTAGACACCTTCCCTGCCTGGATGCCCTCTCCCTCCTTCTGGGCTCTGACCCAGCATAGGGATATTTTAAAGCTCCCCAAATGATGCTAACATACAGCTAAGACAGAGCACAACTGAATTGGAAGGAAGATGAACCCCATACTTTTTGATTTATTGTTAAGTGAATGGCAGGTTTTTTTGTTTTTTGTTTTTTTTGGTGTGAGGAATAAATTTTATAATGCATATGAAATGCCCAACAGAGTCCCTAGACACAGGAAATTGCTGAATACATGTCAGCAGTTGTTTTGCATATTACATTGTTTAACTTTTAACCACTCTCCACCTTACTGCCCAAAGCACAGCCCTCACTCATCTGAGATGAAATGACAGGTTTTTAAAGCCAGATTTGGTCTGGGAAAATAAATTCTTCCTAAAGAAGTGAAATTAGAGAGAAGACTCATTTCTACCAATATACCCAGTAAAAGATCAGAGTGAAAGCACAGGCTGTCTCCTGGAAAGCTTTGAAAAATATTTGTTTTGGAAATAAGTCTGCTTGTAGTGAACATGAATTTCAGTCCCTTTCCCTGAATTACCTGTTTATAGGAAAAAATACTTGAAAAGGTTAGTTATTTTTTAAGAATGTCTCATTAAAGACTTACTGCTCTTTTTTGCATTGCATTTTTAAAATACACTTTTAATTTTGGAATAGATTTAGAAAAAATTGCAATTTAATACTTTTTAAAGCATTGACTGTTTAAAGAGGAGCTATTCCGATTGTGTTTGCTCTTTTCTGTAGTCAGTTGCACTTTAAAATATGGAAACCAAGTTAAAGTAACTGGGCCATGAGGAACCCCATCTTCTCCTTCCACTGGCAGCTAGAGGAAGCAAGAGGCTCTAGGAGCCAAATATAACGGGATCTGTGGCCAGCCTACCTTAGATGGTCAGCATCCATCTTGCCAGTTTTTGTAAATCCATTTTCTTAAAGTAGCGCACTGCTGCAAATGGATTTTCACCAAGAGCTTCACACTTAGCGTGATGTACACGTAATCTGACTCCAAAGAAATCCAACATTAGACCTAGGAAATTTCAATAAAATCTCTTCCTTGATTATATTTTTGAAGTTTTCGTGAAGTTACCTTTTGAGTGAGAATTGTGCACGTTAGGCTTTTATATGTTTATAACCCGAGTTACGGAGGAGAAAGGCCAATATTCGTGAATTTGGACAGAGCCACAGAAAACTTGACATGTAGGTAAAACACTTATTTTTTTGTTTAGTTCTTGTTTTCTGCAAATAAAGCATTAATTACCTCTTCATGAGGGCGCGCCTCAGCGTTGGTCCTCAGTTCCTCTTGTGCAGGTTGAGTGATTTCCACTCCCCAAACTTGAATCCTTCAGGAACCATCTTTGTGATTTTTGCCACATCTGCATTATTTACTTAACATTTTTCTTTAATTTGTCTGACTTTTGACTTCACCTTGTTCTAGATGATGTCTGTGAAACCATGGATTTGATGTGTTGGGTCACCTACAATCACAAGTACTGTAGGCGTACCTGTTCCATACTCTGGGGAACTGGGAACTAGATCTCTGGCTCTCCTTCCAGCTCGGAAATTCAATAAGTGTGGCGTCTGAGGTTTTCTGCTTTGAACTCTGAAGTCACACCAGTGGTTGCTTATGCATTTTTACCAGTTGATACATTGAGTGGAAGTTGGCAGCTTTCTCTATGTATATTACATTAGAATATTAGAATATATATTAGAATATATTATTTAATATATTAGCATAAATATTACATTTTAAAGTTACTTTTCAAATGTGGGGTGTAAATTGTTTAATTTGCTAACATTCAGCACATTTCTCCAACTGGAAAGTTTATTACGTATCGTTTTTATTCTAATCGAGGGGAGCAAAATTTGATCGTCTTAGTGCAGGTGCGCAGGAGGATGTCACTGTGAATTCACCCGATAGGGAATACATAGATTTATAGGACACAGTCCTGCCTTAAAAACACAAGTAGAAAACACATAAAACATATAATATTAATAATGTAGAAGAAAAATATGGAATATAGAACATGGTTTTGTGTTCACCATTCTGAAACTGTCATGGGAAAACACCTAAATTATGATAAATACATGAGTACCATAATTGAATTAATATATTCTGCATTATTTGTGAGGAATATTGCCAGAAGCTAGCTGGATGTTGTCATATATTCAAATCAGGTTCTTTGTTAAGTGAAAAAACAGTAATCTTGCGTGTGTGTGTGTCTTCTTTTAGGAAAACATTATAAAAGCTCACTTTAATGGACTTCTTTGAAACCAAACTTAATGTCATGTTTTGCAAAAAAGGTGACAAACCACAATACAGGGATAACTAAATGTGGTGAGTTTTATGCATCCTCTTAGTTTAAGTAAAATACTGTGTTCACTCAGCCACAGAGATGAAATGTTTCCTTGCACACCATCTACAAGCATTTAATTTGCTACACAAATAGACCGTGAATATAGATGTCTAACCTTCTGGTATGACATTACTTTAACAGAGAGAAGGAGCAAGAAAGGGAAGAACAGTTAATGGAAGACAAGAAAAGGAAGAAAGAGGATAAAAAGAAAAAAGAAGCCACTCAGAAGGTAGGTTTCATCAGTTAAGTCCGTCTTTACATCCACCAAGCATCCAGAACAAGTAACTGCCTTGGCTTGGATACCTGACGTCGTCGTAATAATGCTACGTGAGACGTTAGTTTACTTAAAAGTTTTAAGATTTGAAAGTGGGAGAAAGAAAGTTAAAGAGCTGCATCTGTTCCTTTAACAAAGACATTAAATAAAATGTTGCAGCTGATGTTATGAAAACAACAGTAAACAATGTTGAGAAAGGCAAAGGAGTTACAGATGCTTAAACTCTTGTCCTATTTCTTTATTTGTATCTTAATCAGTCTCCGTTTTCTTAAGCAAACTTATAGAATAACTTTTCAAAGCTTGCCGGAGTTTGTGTCCTCCTTTTGGTCCACCTCCAGCATTATTTCTATGAGTCTGCCTTTTGATAACTCCATAAAGAAACTTCCCTCAAAGAGGTTCCGTGGGCCTGCTTAGTGCTTTGGGGGAGATAGCGTTACATGGCTTTGAGGAAGTTGCTTAGGGAAAAAGAGATGCCAAAAAAGAAGACATAGGGCCGAGAGCTGTCAGATGTTAGTTGAAGTGGTTAGTTTCTCCAGAGCAGAGAGTGGTTAGACCTCCTTCCCTGCCCCCTTGGCTGCAGAGCATGCCCCTCGGCCTTGGCCACTGTCTGGTCTCATTTCCCCCCCTCGCCACTCTTTTAGCATCACCTGACTTGGGCTCTGGCTTGGCAGGCTTGCTTTGGTGCCTTTTTTGGAGACAAAGTGGTTTGCCTCCAGTTCTTACAACCACTACCTGAAGCACTTGGGAAGCAGGCCTCTCTGTGGGTCAGGTTTGAGGGTCCTTGCTAAGGTGCCAGGTCATTGAAGCTAAGTTTAGGGAGATGGAAACTATTACAAGGTTCAGAGGGAACTCTAGATTTAGAACAGGCTTGAGGCAATCGAACACAAGCCAGTGTAAGGTATAAGGGACCCCGCAGATTTTCCTAGCGTTGGTGACTGTAGCGTTTCCCATAATTTAGTTTTCTGAATTATTGAAATAGATCATTATGAATGCCAGCATAAAAAAGCAGTACTGGAAATATTTTCTGAATTGGATTGTATATGAACCTGCCACGTTAAACATATGAAATCTAATTTGTCTTTTCTTCATGACTTAATTAAAAGGAATATTCATTGTGGTTTGGTGCTGTAATAGACTGCTGTGCTCTTTAAGATTTCGTCTGCTGTTAATCGTGTTTCTGTTTCTATTAATAGTGGTGTGCTCACCGTCACATCTTCATGCTATCAGGGTACCTGCTTCTCATGTGTTTCCTCTAATCTGAGCTTGTTAGAATTGTCTAAAATGATAGTAAGAGTCAGAGTAAAGTTGTCAGATAATGACCCTGAGGCTTTTTTTTAACTTTCTTTTGGCTATGCAGCCACATTCCATGTCATTGAGGTTGCAATATGCAGGTCCACTAGCTTTATAATGTGTTAGGGACATTACTTCTGTGTACTGCACGTGCTGACCCTCCAGCTGGAGTGATGGGAGAGTGAACCTCTGAAGACTTTTCTTTCCTTTAGAACATTCACATTTCATCAACTAAATTGGTACAAAAATTGATTTTGCAGTCTGAGGGTATGGATGGTTAATAGTCTGGGGAACTTGAGCAAAAGCTGGGAACAAGATGCCAAATAGAGTGATTTTTTTTTTAAGGCAATGTACGCTCCATCTTTGTTCTTCGCATAGATAACAATGATTTCTTAACCTGAAAATATCAGTATCTCGAAGTGATTAGTAAAATATGAAAATACACATTTGTAAATTTTCATCGTGGACCCCACTAAGAGAAAAAGGATTTAAAATAAAAGATGGTGTGGGTTTATTCAAAAGTGAATTGAGATTCTTTATGCAGAGAAAGTCATTTATACAGCTGGACAGTCTCCCCTGTATGCTTGCATCTGCATTAAGAACTGGTCAAGAAGTTATGGCAAAGAGGAAAATCACCGTAAAAAACTTTTCAAATGATTAATTATGAACAGTAAAAATGCAGTCATTTTTGTTCAGAAATGTTCTAGATCGGCTGACAGGATCTAGGGTGACACGTGGCCTTTGATATTGTTTTATCATACTGAACCATTGTGTAATTTCAGAATTAAATTCTGATTTAGCAGTTTTAAGGAGAGAGCACAAAGTACCATGTGATTGTCTTAGTGGTTTCCAACCTTATTGTAGAGACAGCGCCCCAACTAGGAGGCATAAAATGTGCTATGATGCAAAGAATTGTAGGGAACATGCCAGAGGTTCTATTATGCGGTCATTCATTCAGTCAGTCGGTCAGCAAACATTTGTGGTGTCTCTTCTTAGTGCTTCCACATCTTTCTCACTGCTTACCCCATTGCCTTATAATCAGTCATGTCTTCGTGTCTGTCTTCCCCATTAGGCTGATTCTAAGTTTCTTGAGGTTTTATTCATATTTATATTTCCAGTAACCAGGGCAGTGCCTGGTGCGTAAGAGTCACTGAAAAAATGTTTGTTTAATAAGTGAATGGTCAAGAATCAATGCTGACAATGTGATTTTCTTGAAGAATTGACTTTTATTTAAAGCTAAATTAAATTATTTCCACACAGAAATTAAACATGAGCTTCTTCCATTGTGTTCAGTGGTTGTGGCGTTTGCTCTTCCTAGAGCCATTACTGAGTAAACCGTTCGATTTCCATTCGTGAGAGAGATGTCAAAGAAGGATTTCATTCACATTCATTAGGCTGATGCTGCTAAAGGGTCGTTGTTTGGTATTGGCAGAGCACATGCTTTGATCATCCAGCTTTTCACTGTCCAGGGGACAGCTCTCAACAGAACCCACATTATAAGACACATTTGACATTATTTGGGTTTGTTGCTTCTGGGGAAGGCATTGGCTTCCTCTATAAATGATCTTCAAAATGGCATTCTCAGAAATATTTACAGTGGTATAAACCTCAAATTGCCTTAAGGAGTTGGTATATGACTACAAATCAGGTCCTTCTTGGATAAGTGGGGTTATAGAAAAATTATGCAGTAGAATTGACCTCTGTAACAATTAGTACTGGAAAATAGATTCATTTGAAGACACTGTCTACCACAAATTCAATACAGTAGAAGGAGCTTGTCTTAAATACAAGAATGTAAGAAATACTCCAGGAGGACATCCAAGCAGATTGTTCAACTCAGAGTCAGCGTCTGACAGTGGTGTGCTGGAATCCATTGTGAAGTGGGCTGGTTAGCTATGGGACATACCCTCCAAAGATTTGCATGTTTTCATGAACACCCATAGCAGTAATTTAGTCTGAGTACCAGCCACAAATAATCAAACCTCTTCTTTTCTGTATGAGTATTTTTGTTACAAAAGTCAGAGAACCAATATACAAATGCTTTGGGAGATTAACAGTTGGCAGAAAGGGGTCAAAATCACTCGTGATCTCAATAATGTAATATTTACCCCTACTGGAATTCTGGCACATTTCCTTTGGGATGTTTTTCTCATGTACGACCTTTTGTCGTTTTGTTTTACTATTATAGGGCATGTATAAGTAGGTGCCCTCCTTTATTTCCCCTCTTAATAGCAGAAAAAGTTTTCCATGTGGCTCCTAATCATAATTTCCAAACTCTCTAAAAGCCCGTTATTGTATTCAGCATATCCAACCTTTTAGGTTAATTACTTTCATAGATGTATTAGTTACTATATAAAGAAGTACTTTTAACAAAGCAGTCTATTTGTTCAAACTTTACATATTTCAACCTTATTTCTCTATTTCATGTTATATAAACTTTGATAATGCTAGCAAACAATTATTGAGCATTGGCATAGGATATCTGATTTAATCCTTACAACAACCCTTTGCGGGGAGATACTATTATTATCTTCATTCAACAGATAAATACAAAACTGAGATCACAGAGCCAGGAAGTGGCACAGCTTGGTTGTGAATCCTGCTTTCCTACCATGACCTCTAGTGCTTCTGATGATGGACGTCAAGTGTTTGAGTCCATACTCATAGGGGAATCTTTTTGTCTCTATGGCTAATGTAATTTCTGGGCCACATTCATTTACTTTTCTCTAGTCATAGCAGTCAAAATGGAAAACAGCATTCCCAGTACAGGGACCTCATCATTTAATGAGAGTGGAATGCTTTTTGTCTTAATTTTTAGTAATAGTCATGTAAGTTACAGCTGGACATATGGCCATTTTCTTTAGAAGCTTGTCTGAACTGACTCCCAGCTACTTTCTCTGGATTTTAACTATGCCTGTGTATCTAACAGTTTGAATCACTTGAGTTATCAGAATTAAAGTAGTCTTAGAATACTGAATTTAAAAGCAAATCTCATTTACTTATGTCTGTTAATTTATTTTGTAGGTCACGGAACAAAAAACCAAAGGTAAGATTTTTCTTTTTCCTTTTTAGATTTATATTCTTTTGTGTGTGGATTTTCCACTCTTGCTAACTCAGCCTCCAATTCGCCTGATAAGTGAGAGTGGGTGTAGAGTAGTTAAGGCTGGTTGTCTGCAGTCACTGAGAGCAGTAATGATGAGTTAAAAGTACTTACAGTAGTGTTTCTAGTTGGCCTTAATTTTTAGTAGGCAAGGAGATTAGACAAAGTAATACTTTGTTTTGAAATTATTGGAGGCGTGATTTTGAACTGAACCTTTTCAAAACTTTTCTTTGATGAAAACAAAACACTAGCCCCTAATTTACAGATGGGAACTGCAGAGGATTGTTCAACACCCTGATCCATGACATTCATTGAGTCTGAAAATAAGTGTTTTATCTAGGATTCTCACACTGTCTTCTGAGCTGGAGCCTGGAATAGGCTTTTTAAACAGATAATTTTAACTTTCTTAAAAAGTAGTAATGTATTATAAACAGAAGCAGGTGTCCTTCAGGTCATTCTTTTTTTTTTTTTTTTAATTGAGTTATTGATAGGTTACAATCTTGTGAAATTTCAATTGTACATTAATGTTTGTCAGTCATGTTGTAGGTGCACCACTTCACCCTTTGTGCCCACCCCCCACCCCACCTTTCCCCTGGTATCCACTAAACTGTTCTTGGTCCATAATTTTAAATTCCTCATATGAGTGGAGTCATACACAGATTATCTTTCTCTCGCTGGCTTATTTCACTTAACATAATTCTCATGGTCCATCCATGTTATTGCAAATGGAATGATTTTGTTCTGTTTTGCAGCTGAGTAGTATTCCATTGTATATATGTACCACATCTTCTTTATCCATTCGTCTGTTGCTGGACACTTTGGTTGCTTCCACGTCTTGGCTATTGTAAACAGTGCTGCAGTAAACATTGGGGTGCACAAGACTTTTGGGATTGCTGACTTCAAGCTCTTTGGATAAATACCCAGTAGTGGGATGGCTGGATCGTATGGTAGTTCTATTTTTAATTTTTTGAGGAATCTCCATATTGTTTTCCATAGTGGCTGCACCAGTTTGCATTCCCACCAGCAGTGTATGAGGGTTCCTTTTTCTCCGCAACCTCTCCAACATTTGTTGCTATTAGTTTTAGATATTTCTGTCATTCTAATGGGTGTAAGGTGATATCTTAGTGTAGTTTTGATTTGCATTTCCCTGATGATCAGCGATGATGAGCATCTTTTCATGTGCCTATTGGCCATCAGTATATCTTCTTTGGAGAAATGTCTGTTCATGTCTCCAGGCCATTTTTTGATTGGGTTGTTTGATGTTTTGTGGTTGAGTTGCGAGAGTTCTTTATATATTATGGATATTAAGCCTTTGTCAGATATATGACTTGCAAATATTTTTTCCCAGTTAGTGGGTTGTTTTTTTGTTTCAATCCTGTTTTCATTTGCCTTGAAGAAGCTCTTTAATCTGATGAAGTCCCATTTGTTTATTCTTTCTATTGTTTCCCTTCTCTGAGAAGGCATGGTGTCCAAAAAGATCCTTTTAATACTGATGTCAAAGAGTGTGCTGCCTACGTTTTCTTCCAGAAGCCTTATGGTTTCAGGTCTTTAATCCATTTTGAGTTTATTTTGGTGAATGGTGAAAAAGAGTGGTCAATTTTCATTCTTTTACATGTGGCTTTCCAGTTTTCCCAGCACCATTTGTTGAAAAGACTTTCTTTTCTCCATTGTATGCCCTCAGTTCCTGTGTCAAAGACAAGCTGTCCGTATATGTGTGGTTTTATTTCTGAGCTTTCAATTCTGTTCCATTGATCTGTGCACCTGTTTTTGTACCAGTACCATGCTGTTTTGATTACTGTAGCTTTGTAGTATGTTTTGAAGTCAGGGATTGTGATGCCTCCCATTTTGTTCTTTTTTCTCAGGATTGCTTTAGAAATTCGGGGTCTTTTGTTGCCCCATATGAATTTTAGGATTCTTTGTTCTAATTCTGTAAAGAATGTCATTGGGATTCTGATTGGGATTGCGTTGAATCTGTAGATTGCTTTAGGTAGAATGGACATTTTAACTATGTTTATTCTTCCAATCCATGTACATGGAATGTCTTTCCATCTCCTTATGTCGTCATCCAATTCTCTCAGAAAGGCCTTGTAATTTTCATTATATAGGTCCTTCACTTCCTTAGTTAAATTTACCCCAAGGTATTTTATTCTTTTTGTTGCGATTGTGAATGGTATTGTATTCTTGAGTTCTTTTTCTGTTGGTTCATTACTGGAGTATAGAAATGCTACTGATTTATGCAAATTGATTTTATACCCTGCAACTTTGCTGTAGTTGTTGATTACTTCTAACAGTTTTCCAATGGATTCTTTGGGGTTTTCTATATATAAGATCATGTCGTCTGCAAACAGCGAGAGTTTCACTTCTTCCCTCCCTATTTGGATTCCTTTTATTCCTTTTTCTTGCCTGATTGCTCTGGCCAGGAACTCCAGTACTATGTTAAATAAGAGTGGTGATAGAGGGCATCCTTGTCTTGTTCCTGTTTTCAGGGGGATGGGGTTCAGTTTTTGCCCATTGAGTATGATGTTGGCTATGGGTTTGTCGTATATGGCCTTTATTATGTTGAGGTAGTTTCCTTCTATGCCCATTTTGTTCAGAGTTTTTATCATAAATGGCTGTTGGATCTTGTGAAATGCCTTCTCTGCATCTATTGAGATGATCATGTGGTTTTTATTCCTCAGTTTGTTGATGTGGTGTATCACGTTGATTGATTTGCGGATGTTGAACCATCCCTGTGTCCCTGGTATGAATCCCACCCTTCAGGTCATTCTTAAACTAATGGTCTATGTGTTTCCAGTTCTTTGTGTTTTGTTAATTTCGATTATGTGGTCTTGTCTGGTGATGGTCACACTTTCCATCAGTTCCCCTTAAGAACGGGAGGCTTAACTCCCTGAGACCAGTGTTCTAGCTCTTGTCCTTACTCACTTAAATATGTGGTTCTCAGCTAGTATCTGCACTGGAATCATTTGCTTAGACTTGTCAAAATACACAAGCTCAGGCCTCCTCCCAAAGCTTCATGGTCCCAGGCCACAGCCCTAGTGGATGTATTTTGAGAAGCTCTGCAAGGTGACCCCAATATGTGTCTCAGGTTGAGAACCACTGCCGTGGATGGAGGGAATCAGATGTGACTGTGATATCTTGGGGAGAGATTAGGGTGATGGGAGGCCCTCTAATGATTGATTTCCTCATGGTTTTGTTTGGTTTTGTTGGGCCACGAGGCCAAAGCGTGTCACACAGTGATGGAAGAATAATAAAGACAGTGCTAGTTTCTTAGGAAACTTAGTTCTGGAAAACAGATTCTCGGATGACCAGATATTACTGTAATATATTTCTAGTCAAAAGGCATTTCAAAGGGGAATGTAGTCTGGGACTTTGTAGTGATTTGTAACATAAACTGAGAGAAACTATTATTAGTTAGAATTATCTTAATTAGTTAGAGAGAAGAGTGTTCTCCCCTTGTACTTTCAGCCAGTTCTCAACCTAGAGGTAGGTTTAGTTTGGAAGTCCTTGTAAATTACTTGTTTGAGATATAAATTATACTTTACATAGAAATAGAGTTATTGATACTGGTACATATTTTCTAAACCAGCATACTGTCTAGGAAAGGATTTTGGCATATAAGTATATTTATAGGACTTGATGATTTATGGGGACAACAGATAGAAGACTGGCATTTTCCTGGAAAATCCAGGCTCTGTGGTTGCTGGAACAGGGTGGCTGGGTTCCTAGGCCCGGCCACAACTCTAATGCTCCTGAAGCCAAATGCTATAGAAACAAGCTGCTCTGTTTGGTAAGTGGTGTTTCTATTGGAAAACTGAAAATCCATTAGGCATTCTTTCTCAGATTTTTCTTTCTTTCTTTTTTTTTTTGGTACCAGGTCTGTTCTCAGAAACATATTCCTCTTTCCTCTGCCAAAGTCTTAAAAAGCGAACTTTCTTTTTTTACTTAGTACCGAATTTTCCCTCTGTTTCGGGTCTCTCTCATACCTACCACAAAACAGAACACAGCCTTCTAGTTTCTGTGCTCCCCCACCACACACCGTCCCACCCCATCAAAAATTAAACTAAAATAATCCTAGAGTGAACTGAGAGCCTATTTTGGGTCTCCTGAGGGATTTAATTGTTAGAACCAGGTGGTAGACAGGTAGTAAAAATAAAAATTATCCCTGGGGTATGTTAGACCATAAGTAGAAGGAGGCCCTGATTTTTTTACTTTTTTCCTTTTTATGGAGGAAGATTAGCCCTGAACTAACGTCTGCCTCCAATCCTCCTCTTTTTGCTGAGGAAGACTGGCCCTCAGCTAACATCTGTGCCCGTCTTCCTCTACTGTGTATGTGGGACGCCTGCTACAGCATGGCTTTACAAGCAGTCTGTAGGTCCACACCTGGGACCCGAACCGGTGAACCCTGGGCCACCAAAGCAAAATGTGCAAACTTAACTGCTGCACCACTGGGCTGGCCCTCTTTCTACTTTTTCAATCCCATTTTGCAACCACATCTTCGTCTTTGTTCCCAAGAACCTGCTTGAGCATTCTCTCATTTTTTTTCTCCCCAAGTTCCCCCAGTACATAGTTGTATACATATTTTTTTAGTTATGGGTCCTTCTAGTTGTGGCATGTTGGATGCCACCTCAACATGGCCTAATGAGCGGTCCCATGACCGCACCCAGGATCCGAATCCAGGGCTGCCAAAGTGGAGCACGCGGACTTAACCACTTGGCCACAGGGCCGGCCCCTGCTTGAGCGTTCTAAATCCCATTCTTGTCTTCCCTCAGCTGATGTATCTGGGACCTATTCCTCTTCCCAAAGGTGCCTTCCTCAGGCAGTCTCCCCTTGACTCTGAATCTACCCATCTTTCTCCAACAGACCCTATAAGAAAAAAGAAAGACTATATTCGTACCAGGTCTCTGGTTGTACGGAGGACTGAAGCAAGCTTTGTCCATATTTCAGAA